TCTAATGGTCATAACTAACTAGAACCAGCTCAAATATCGAAACCTGTTTGTTGTGTCATTGTAGGAGTCAAATTCCTTAATGTATTCTATAACTTAATAATTGCAATTCAGAGTTATGAACCAAGTTAACTTTGCTCCATCCCTTTTTAATTTAGGTCCAGATCTCTCTGCCTTCAGGTTGGAAACTGCCAACTGCAACTGTATCAGCCAGCATGTCCTAGCTCAAAGAGTCACTCTTAACCTTCATACGCCCACATGACAGACCAAGCCCCACTTTGCTCTTGTTTACATTCTTATCATTGTTATTAGTAACTCAAATCAATAAACAACCTTCGAATAACGACAACAAGGGAAAAAGCTCAAGATACTAATAATATTCTTCCTTTGTGAATCAAACACATTGCATTACCACACACCATCTTCCTCTAGTGTCTGCTCTACTTCCTCCTCACATTCCCTGAGCTATGGGTACAAATAGTACACAACAAGTCTTACACACACACGATAGCAGAACCCAGCGTGTTAACCTCGGCTTGCTCTCCGTCGATCACAGCTTCTCATGCTTCTACTAGTGGTTCCTCCTCATAACATTGACCCAAAATAACATACCTGGAGAGCGGCCAGCATCCTCCTGCTCGGCCTCAGCTGAAGGCCAATGACGCTGTTGTAATAGAAAGCGCCATCTCGCGGGTGACGTGGGGAAAGCTTCTTGACGCTTGTCTTTTCTACCACTGCGACGAAGGGTCAGAAGACTGACCCTCTGTAGCATCTTCGGGGGAGTGTGGGAAAGAAACATGCTTAAACATATGAACCCTCTGTGCCTGGGCGGACCGGTCCCCACTGAGCCCTGTGACCTGTTCTCTCAATTCCTGCCACTAAATCCTGCCCTGGTGATCTCCAAGGCGCGTCTGGTTTCCTCAAGGGCTGCCCCATGGGCCTACAATAAAAATTTAAAATATCTCTGTCCAACAACATAATAAATAAAATTACCAAGAGAAGACCTATTATCCCAAAAATCCCCCAAGAAATTTGAATAACTTATTAACATAATCAGTAACTAAAACCAAGCAATCTATCACACAAAAAGAGGAAAAGTAATATTCTGAGTTAGCAAATTTTTACCATCTGATAAAAAATAGCCTAAAAGATTAAATTTTTTCCCTGATATTCAAATTAAAGAATAATTTGTTTTATCAGTGAAATATCCTCAATAGCAATTACCAAAGAGCTGTACTTACTGAAAGGCCACTCTAAAATAAATTAGAGGATAACATGTCAATGTGCATTGAATATTAAGATATTACCTGCCAGCCAGGATGTGGTGGACTCACACCTGTAATCGCCAGCACTTTTGGGAGACCAAGGCAGTGTGATCCAACCAGGTCAAGAGTTCGAGACAGCCTGGACCACCATGTGGCAAACCCAATCTCTACTAAATAATACAAAAAATTAACTGGGCGTCGGTAGTGAGTCCTAAATCCTAGCATACTCAGCGAGCTGACGCACGGAGAATTGCTTGAACCGTTTTTGGAGGTGGAAGATCTGCAGTTGGCCAAGTTCAACAATTGCACTCCAGCCATTGGGCAACAGGGTGATACCATCCACCTCAAAAAATAAAGAAAAAAAAAACAACTTAGTAGAGACGGGGTTTCACCATATTGACCAAGATAGTCTCAAGCTCCTAACCTTGTGATCCACCTGCCTTGGCCTCCCAAAGTGTAGGGATTATAGGCGTGAGCCACTGCTTTTTTTTTTTTTTTTATTTTTTGAGGTGGAGTCTCACCCTGTTGCCCAAGCTGGAGTGCAATGGTGTGATCTTGGCTCACTGCAACTTCCACCTCCCGGGTTCAAGCAATTCTCCTGCCTCAGCCTCCTGAGTAGCTAGGATTTAGGCACGCACTACCACGCCCAGCTAATTTTTTGTATATTTAGTAGAGATGGGGTTTCACATGTGGGCCAGGCTTGTCTCGAACTCTTGACCTGGTGATCCACCTGCCTTGGCCTCCCAAAGTGCTGGGATTACAGGTGTGAGCCACCACACCTGGCCAGGTAATATCTTAATATCATGCCATTGACATTTATCCTCTAATTATTTTAGAGGTGGCCTTCAGAAGACAGCCTCTTTGGTAAAATTGCTATTGAGGATATTTCACTGAAAAACAAATTTATCTTTAAATTTAAATCCAGGAAAAAATTTAAACTTTTAGGCTTCTATTTTTATCAGATGGTAAAAAATTTGTAACTCAGAATATTACCTTTTCCCCTTTTTGTGTGATAGATTGCTTGGTTTTAGTTACTGATTATTTAATAAGTTATTCAAATCTAGGATTTTGATATAATGGTTCTTCTCTAGAATATAGTATGTGTGACAGAGTATATTTAAAATTTTTATTAAGGCCCATGGGGCAGCCCTTGAGGAAACCAGACCTTGGAGATCACCAGGCAGGATTAGTGGCAGGAATTGAGAGAACAGAGCCTCACAGGGCTCATTGGGGACCGTCCCCCAGGCACAAGAGTGTCTCAAGGAAGCAGTCTTCTCCCACATCCCCCGAAGATAGCTACCAGAGGGTCAGTCTTCTGAGCCCTTCTCAGTGTAGAAAAGACAAGCGTCAAAAGCTTCCCCACTCACCCCGAGATTGCCTTCTATTACAACACGTCATTTGGCCTCACTGAGGCCGAGCAGAGGATGCTGGCCCTCCCAGGATATTTTGGGTCAAATGAAGAGGATGAAACCACAAGTACACTTAGCATGGAGAAGCTGGTGATCTAGACTGAGAATCAGCCGAGCTTAACACAGCTGGGGTCTGCTACTCGTGTTTTGTAGACTTTTGTGTAACTATTTGTACCATAGCACAGAATGTGAGGAGGAAGTAACACACACAGAGGAAGATGTGTGTGTATGCATGTGTTTGAATTCACAAGGAAGAAATTATTTATCTTGAGCTTTTCCCTTTGTTATTCAATTTTTATTGATTTATTACTAATAACAATGATAAAATGTAAACAAGAGCAAATGGGGCTTGGTCTGTCATGTGGCTATGAAAGTTAAGATGTGACTTTTGAGTAGGACATGCTCTGAACATTGCATTGGCAGTTTCCAACCTGAAGCAGAAATCTGGAACCTAAACTAAAAAGGGATGGAGCAAAGTTAACTTGGTGTCATAACTCTGAATTGCAATTTATTAAGTTATAAATACATTAAGAATTTGACTCCTACAATGACAGCAACAAACAGGTTTCATATTTGGCTGATTTAGTTAGTTATGACCATTAGACTGCTGAGCTACTTAAAAATGGTGATACCACAGATATTCAAGAAGAACTTTCAGATTAGAGTCCAGGTGACTTGACAAAATTATATGAATTAATTCTGCTTTAAAAAGATAATGTAAGAAGCTGGTAGTTCAGGTAGTGAGTCAAATGAAGAGCCATCTGTTCTGAGCAAATAAATAGTAACTGTTTTGGAAAGGACAGTATTGTCTTCTGAGGAAATGGGCAGTAGGTACTGACCATGCCACTACCTGGGACCAGGATGCTGATTACATGTTCCTGAACCAAACTGGCAGCAGAGACCTCAGCGGGGGAACTGGTACATGGATGTTGTTCTTAAACATAACTTGATTATATTGTTCAGAAAGAAAATGCATTAATTAACTTTAGGTATATATAAAGCAGGTAGAACAGTTTACAATTTTACAGTTTAAGCTTTTTTTTTTTTTTTTTTTTGATACGGTCTCTGTTGCCAGGCTGGAGTGCAATGGCGCAATTTCAGCTCACTGCAACCTCCACCTCCTGGTTTCAGGCAATTCTTCCTTGGCCTCCCAAGTAACTGGGACTACAGGCGCATGCCACCATGCCCGGCTAATTTTTGTATTTTTAGTAGAGACGGGGTTTCACCATATTGACCAAGATAGTCTCAAGCTCCTAACCTTGTGATCCACCTGCCTTGGCCTCCCAAAGTGTAGGGATTACAGGTGTCAGCTATAGCGCCCGGCAAAGCTTTTTAAATTAGAAGTATGAGTTAAAGAAGGAAATAGAGGAAATAAGCCTTTGTAGAAATTTAGAATCCCTTTTGTTTGCGTTTTCAGTCTTCTACACTTTACAGACTCCCCTCCGCCCCCGCAACAGAGTCTAGCTCTGTCATCCATGCTGGAGTGCGGTGGCGCGATCTTGGCTCACTGCAACCTCCGCCTCCCGGGTTCAAGTGATTCTCCTGTCTCAGCCTCCCAAGTAGCTGGGATTACATGCGCCCACCATCATGCCCTGCTAATTTTTGTATTTTTAGAAGAGACAGGGTTTCACTGTGTTGGCCAGGCTGGTCTCGAAATCCTGACCTTGTGATCCCCCCACCTTGGCCTCCCAAAATACTGGGATTACAAGCATGCCTCACCGTGCCTGGCCACAGACAAGACATTTGAGGTTCAGGGAGAGTAACAGGATTGGCTAGGACA